GTGCTGGGCTCTGAGGGGCGGGCTGCTCGCAGCCTTTCCGCCCTGCTGGGAGGCCCCTGTTCAAAGGCGTCGCTGCCCGCCCGCGGGCCGAGGGGCCGCGCCGCCGTCAGGCCCCGCTACAGCGGTCTGGTTAATGAGAAACTCCCCGCTGGGGGATGCAGCCTCTCCGGCTCCTCTGCCCGGGCTTCGGCCAGCGGTGCTCAGGCCCCAGCGTCTAAAGTCCAGCTCCCAAATGGGTACTGAGGCCTCTCACCTCACTTGTAAGAACCTTGTCCACTGGGCCCAAAGTTAATCCTGCTGGCTTTGGGGGAAGAGAGGTGAGAACACAAACCACAATTACCCCAACTATTATGTTGACGGGCAGGAAAGCAGGCAGGAGGGAAAGTAGGAAGGAAGGAAAGAGCTGCCGCAGAGGGATCCAAGTGGTGCCGCGCTTCAGCGGTAAAATTTTGTATGTTTAGTTTTGATAGTCCAAAATAGAGCGTTAGGCCTTGAAGACACTTGATACAGCAGGCGTTTTGTTAGTTGTTGCTACTTAAACGTGCTCAGATTGCTCGGAGCTTCTTGTATACCTTCAGAATTAGATTTAGAAAGCAATCTATACAGAGTAAACCGGCCTTTTGTCAGGGGTTGTCCCGCATGCTTTTGCTATGAGGTCACTCAAGTTAGCAAAGCCTGTAATGGTTTACCCTGGCTCCATGCTTCCAGACCGCACCCTGGCACTTCAGGATGGAAAAGTATGTGCAGTGCTGTATCATCTTGTCCAGTCCTTACAAATCTTCTTGCCCCTGCCTGTTCCTATGATTTTGGAACCTCTCAGATTGAAAACTAGATAATTAAAAACCTAGAATTGTTTCCAGTAGCATATTTGCCCCTCAGTCACCATGCCAGTTTTTGTGGCTTTTTTTCTGGTACGACATCTTTTTCTTTTGACTGTTTTCCTCTTGCTGTTGCTGGGCAGAAAATCTATACAAGTTACAAATTAAGCTGACTGACTGCAGAGCGAATGAACTATAAAAGTGTAATTCAAAAGATGAAAGTGTAAGCATAGGGAATTACGAGTTTTTATGCTTAAAACGAAACAAAGCCTTGGTAAAAGTAGGCAAACTGCATTTATTCAAAAAACATATTTTTAAATTGGCAGTCATTTTAACAGTTATTTCATGTGCTTAACCTACTGTAACATAAAAGCACATCTGAAATGGAGGCTTTCTAGCAGAAGTTTAAGCCATCTGTAACTTACAGCTTGCTAATAATACACAATGCCTGCAGTAAGGGTTTTAGCACAGCATAGCTCAGAGCCCCTCTGCTATCCCTGCATAGGCACAAGCTGAACTTCTGCTGGGAAAACCCTCCTGGCTCTATGGGAGAGGCTGTTTGGAGCTGTGCTCCTGCCTGCTCACTGCCCTCATTGTGAAGAGCACAATCGCCATGTGGCAAGCCTCATTCGAGATCATCATCCCTCTATACCTCTATTTTCAGGCTGTTATTTCCCATATGCCTTCTGCATCTTGGAATCTACTGCTGATTCATAAACCCACCTTTAACGCTTAGCTGCTCATTTTGCATTTTTTCTGGCATGGTATATTATCTGCAGTATATCAAGATATTTGCTGCCAGAAAAGCACCTTGGATTTCTGGTTAATCTCTATTTTCTATTTTTTTTTCACAGAACTTTGAATTCATTTGAAGATTGAGAAATGCTAGCTTGCAGGAGCTCTTCCCAGGACAGCTGGGCACACAGCAGCAGCAGATTGATGTGCAGCACAGGGAGCAAACTGATTGCTTCCAGCAGATCTGTGGAAAGGACCAAGGGATGGAAAGTGGGCCAGGGAATGTGTCCTCCAGTATGAGGCACTGGATGGTAAACTTCCTACCATTACGGAGCACAGAGCCTATATCGAGACTGAATCTTACATGGGACAATCTTATTTCATGACGTCAGTACAGCAGAACAGGAGAGAAGGAGGTGGCTGAATCTCAGGGAGTGGCAGTGAAGGTTCAAGCTGCGTGTGTTTAAGGTTAGTGTCTATGTCAACTGTGAGGCAGGCTGCAAAAAGAAGCATTTCAGAACCATGTAGTAAAGTCACAGCCCCTTAAGTGCCAACTGCCATTTTGATTAGAGTAGGGTTTCAGAATCATAACCACTTAAATGACTGTTGTGAAGGATATTGCATGCAAGTGGAGTGGTTTCCTTTTTCAACCGAAGCCAAACCGACGGCATTTCATTAGCCTCTTTTCCCTCCTCCTTCTCCTCCTCTTTACCCCAATAGTGTGATCATGAGCTATTGAATATAAAAATCCCCCCTGGTTGTCTGTGTGATAGGTCCTGGGTGATAAAGGGAGCATTCTGGTTGCTTTGTTCTACTCTGCTTTAGGTGTCCTCTCTTGGCCTCTGAGGCAAGACACCAAGTTAGGTGGTGTTCTACTATTTCTGGTACATACTTTCTTATACCTTTATATTCACTTATTCCTGGCAATTTATCGGCATTTGTGCTATTGGTAATCTCATTGGTCTGGGATCAGTGTCGGTCATCCTGGATCTGTAAGACGATGTGGGGTTACCACTATGGCATAGTTAATATGCACCAGAAGTGCAAGGCTACACGTTGGTGATTGAATTACTGGCAAGCATGTCACAAATTATCTCTGGAGTTACACTGCCATCTGCAATACAGAATTGAAGTCTGAACAAACCATTCACTTGTAAGAACCTTGTCCACTGGACCCAAAGTTAATCCTGCTGGCTTTGGGGGAAGAGAGGTGAGAACACAAACCACAATTACCCCAACTATTATGTTGACGGGCAGGAAAGCAGGCAGGAGGGAAAGTAGGAAGGAAGGAAGGAGCTTCCACAGAGGGATCCAAGGAGGCAAGGCAAATTCCCCAGCAATATTTTAGGAACCATTTCCTAGATCCTCTGCAGATGGTAGCTTGCAGGCTCTGGAGTGACCTCCCATTTCATCCAGTCAGCTTCAGGACTGAATATGGGTTCAAATTATAAGGAATAGGGGCCTCATACTGTACAGCAACACATACTTTCAAGGCAGGTTTAGCTAAAATCCACCCACAAACACATGAGTCATTACTCAGAAGCACACTCCAGCGTAGACATATCCTGAGTCACTTCCATCTCAGAAGCTTATAAATATTTAGTTAGCCACCTAGCTTTTAATTTAGCAGAACAACAAAGATTCATTAGACAAATCTCCAGAATTGTCTTTCACTAAGAAGCATTTTAAATACTTCCATTCTTGCGAGTTCCTTTTCATATCTATGCAACTCAGAATTATTTGATACATATAACTTACAAAAAAACATACTTGAACTAAGAATGAATTTCCCCTGATTCTGGTCCTTCTGTAATTAGCTTCATCTGTTTCAAATACCAGCTTTGCTCATTGCAAGAATATTTTAGCAATTTTTTTACTGTTTTATTTTATTTTATGTTTATTTTAGCAATAACTGGTGAACTCTTAACAAAGACATGACTCTACTGATGTGGGGTGGCATATAGCTCTTCCCAAAGACCACTGTAATTTCTGCTGGTCCAGCAGACCACGCTGGAGTCAGTGGATGTTAAATGGAAAATGCATCAATCCATTTTTTTTGAACAACCAACTGAGGTTTTGGGAAAAAAAATTAAATAAAAGGCTTGCTTGTATCTCTTTTTCGGCAGTGGCAGGAGGGGAGAAGAACGACGGTAATATTTAAGGATATAGCATTAGGAAAAAAATTGTTATTATTTTATAAAATCATGAATTTGTTGTTATGGCTACAAGTGTTTGAGTTAAAAATATTTGTTATATAAAAATGTGATTCTTGAGTTTACATCTCTCCAATTAACAAATTCAGCCAGAGGCCATTGATTGCTTTACAGGCCACCCTTCAATGCAGACTGTTTACTGCCCATGAATCACAGGCTGAGCAGCACCCCTCTCACACAGCTGTTTGAACTCCATAACCGAAAGGTGATCAGCAAAGATGAAAAACAGGTTGGCTTGATGCTTTCTTTTTTTCCCCTTGGTCAGCAGTGCTTTTTCTGTTTGCTGTTTTGGTTGATCAATTTTTATTTCAGTAATTCACACAAGATAGATGCCACATAGATGTGTTTTTAAATTTTGATAAAGCAAATCATCTATTAATGTCTTTGCTATACTACAGGAAAAAATACTGTATCATTCTCTATAGAACACGGACAATATGTTCCTCTTTCCTACAGTCTAGGTAAAAGACTTTGCAGCATCACCAATAGGTAAATTGTTGGTTCAAGAAGAACACGTGGATAGTAGCAGAACTAATGTCTGTCTGGAAGAATACAGACTTAGGTAAACTTGGCAATGGGAAAAAGGAAGGGACTGCATAAATGTCAAGTCAAGAGAATAATTCTTGTGGCCTCAGCATAGGGAGTAGTAAGAGCAAAGCCTTCCCAAAGAAAGAAAAGAGTTGCAAATGTAAAGGCAGAAAGCACACCCCCCCCCAAAAAAAAAAAACAACACAGAAATGAAAAAGGAGAGGTGAGTTTTTCCCTTATCATAACGTGTATTCTTGTTATACTGAAATTGCAGTAGTGATATAGCTATAGCTGTTTATTATAACACAAAGGGCTTAGTCAAAACCAAACTTCACAGGCAGCAGAACCCTGATGAACACCCAGCCTCACAGAGCTGACTTGTTATTTTCCAGTGAACAATAAAGGGCTTAGCTAGGATGTTTGTTATGCCATTATCAGAACAAGGTACCAAAACAAGAGCTGTATTTAGTTTTGGGTGCTTTTCTGTAAAATGTCTGATGTTGAAGGTGACTCAAAACACTACACAACCAATCAACATTATATTGGGGTATTTGGAAAGTCTAAAATATGAGCAGTGTCTACTTAGTTTAAAAAACAGGTGATTTTGAAAACTGGAGGTGATTATTTTTTCTGTGTCGCATACAGAGGATAAATTAACATTCTGAAAACTATTTTGTGGGGGATTCACAATTGTATAAGGTCTTCGAATGCTAAGTTTTATAAAGTCCATATACAGATATGAGTCAGTTTGAAATTCCATCACCCTGTGGATCCAGCTGCCTGTTCTTGTTTTCATGTACTTGATTAGAATGACTGCCTGACTCGGACCAGGTGGGAGTTCTGCCTAACTGTTGTATTTTCATAGCATTTAAAAAAAAAAATTTCACCTGGGGAATGGAGCAGAGAATTCTCTGTTTAGGTCCGTATGAATATGTATTCCACATCATCATCATATGCAGCAATCATAAGGTCAGAAACACAGGTTGTGGTGGGAAGGACAAGCCATTTCTTCCTTTTCAGGACTTTCCTAAATCTTCTATTTATAGTACAGAACCATTTTGTTACATGTTTGCTATACTTTTTTATTTATCTTGTCTTTAACCTTGGCCCTATAAAAAAAGTGGAAGTCCCAGTGCCTAGGAGCCTACACATTTACAGACAAAATCAGATACTGCTACAACATCTCATAAAACCCATTATTTTCTTCATTAACTGCATCGCTATTACAGACTAATACAGCAATAGATGTTAAGTGAAATATTTCTAATGGTGCCATACATATTAAAATATATCACCTGCATCCCATTGTGATTTTAGTGGCGTAGGAGAAAAAATGAATGCAGTGGTAGCATAGGTACCAGAAAGTCATTAAGTAGCACAGTTCTGACAGCTTTCTTGCGTACTTGTGATTGCTAGCTACACCCCTTTGCAGCTGGAATAAGGATTAAAAGACAAAAAAGAATATGCAGCTGCTGAGAATCAGTAAGGCCTCAATGTTTACATATAAACATAATTCCTGAAAACACATCAGAATCTGAAAATATGGGTCTGTCTACTGATTCTATGTCTTTTAAAAATGTTTACCCTTTGTGTTCTTTTTCGTTCTCTCTGAAGTGTTTGTAGGAGAGCAAACATCCATTACCAGTGGTATTTCCTTCGTTTTTTTTTTAATTGCAGAAGTAATACCAGACTGCAAAGTTTGCATCCCAGCTTTCTCTGCTTTTGGCATTGTTCATGTCTTGAGCCATTTACGAAATCAGTCACACTCTTCAGAACCAGATTTCAGTCTTTCTTCCCTGGCATATGGACTTCACATCAAGCTCCTCTGCTGTTACTTTAGAAAAGGAAGTTCAGTTTCTTCATATCCTTGCCCTTAACAGGCAGCCTGTGGTTCAGGTATGCCGCATTTCACTTTGGAGGGGTAGTGGATAACCTCCCATAGCTTTGCAGCGACATCTCGTGGGCTCATTGGCCTAGAAATGTAGCAGAGATTCCTCTTCTAGGGTGGAGAAGGCCTTGTGTGGATTAAGTCAAATATTTCATACACTGAGGAGGTAGGATGCCTTTTGAAAGCCAATTCATTAACTGTTTAATTAGATAGGTGACATTGTCAACATGATCGTCAATTGTACGGAAAAAAAAGGTTAGAAATTGTTTCAGGTGCTAAATGGAATTGGTGTCCCCCCCGTTTTTTTTTTATTTTCACAAGCACTTTTACTATATAAAAATATTTTCTTTTTCCCTCATGATATATGAATAATCTACATTAAAAAATCTCAATAGTTAAATCTGCTGTAAAAGTAAAACATTTTTTCTGGTGTAATTAATCAGAGATGTTACATGTTAAAATAACAGGTAAAAGCATTTCAAACAGAATATGATTTTTGACATTGAAAACTGTGTTTCATCCAAAATCTGGAAAAGTAAATATTTACACTACCAAATTCAACATAAAACTCTCCAAGCTGCCTTACTAAGTTTCAAAGCCATGAAAAAAATGTGGAAAAGTTAATGAAGAGAACAGAGGTTAATACTTTCTGAAATTAATTGGGACAAAGTGAACAGCAACCTAATTGCTGGTCCAAGATTCATCTTGCCGGTGTGTATCTTTTAAACAGTCTTATGGAGTTACATTTAAACTTTCCAGCTTCAGGTTACAATTTTGCTTTTTTTGAACACTATTGAGTATTCTGTAAATAGTTCCTTATACAAAAAATACCCACAGATGATGCATAAGACATAATCCAAATTCTTGGGAAAGACTCCCAGTATTTCACCAGCTCACAGATGTAAAGGTCAGCACTTCATTTAGGAGGGGATTACTTCAGGGTCTGTCTGCAACTTCCAAGTATGTTGCTGCATAGCATACCATGCTTTTGCATTGGGCCTTACTGGATTTTATCGATTAACCCTAAAATAGTACATTCCAGTGACAGTATTTGGTGATTTATCCACAGAGCCCAAAATACTGTAATGGTGTCAGTGGCAGTTTTCAGTGAAAGCAGGACCAGGCTCTACTCCTTTTACAGAAAGACTTTGCTAGATCAGAAAAGGAATACTAGAGATATTTGCCCTTCTTCTCAAGGCTGCAAAATTTGGACAGTGTAGTAAGGTGAACATCTTAAGTTGCTGTTGCAAACATCTAAGCACTTATTGTCTAGATATAAAGTAATTTACCTCAGACTAAAGTAAAAGAATGGTGCCTGCAGTCTAAAATATGAGAATACTCCCTCTCCTCGTGTGTTTAGATCCTCACCATCTAAACAGCAGTGTACCACTTGGTTTTTAAGTACTTGAGGCCACACAAACTAAACTAAGGGGAGAGAATCTAAAGTAGCAATATGCTGCAGACCCGCAATGTATCAACCCTCAATTTACGAAATTAATTGTATCAAAAATATTGGTGCATCCTTTGGATTAAAGAAGTGTTCTTGCAAGGAGGACAGTGGAAGACAGCAGTGTAGTACTGATTTCCAAAGCCTAAATGGAAGACCATTGTGTGACCAAACCCCCAAAGAGGGAACAAAGGTAATTCACACAGAAATCGTAATAAAATACTGGGGATTTATCCCTAGCTAAAAACTCTATTTTGTTGGGTTTGTTTGCTGTGAGGTAATGGATCATTAGTAGCAGCAGTGAGGGGAAATGGTATTTTTGCAGGGAAAAGGGAAATTTCAGGCTAAAATTGATGGCCTCTTCCAAAGTGAAGATCACTGAGTGTGCTGCTGAGCGAAGGGCTTTCCATGGCTTGCCCAGGTGAGCTGAGGGGAAAGGGTGCTGCCACAGAGGTTGGCAGGAACCGGGTGGCTTTGAGCCTGCTGCCTGCAGGAACATTACTGTCCCAGTGACTGGTCTTCATGGCAGAGTCTGCTGATGCTTCTTCCTAACCTCAGTTCAGCTGTGCAATCATGCAAAGCAAATTCAAACCCTGTTGATAAGAATGCCTTGAAATAGTTAAAACTGCTGTTACAGATGGTATTTTCATGTCCAGGGTTTAATCCATGTATCTCATCTATACTCTGTATACCCTTTCCAGGCACTTAGAAAGGCTTAGTTCTAGAATAGCAATGGAATTAACTCAAATTCCTGAGTCTAGGGTATATTCTGCAGGTAATTCCATACTCTCCCAGTGAATTCCATACAAATTTTCTGTATAAATTTTGTTCAACAGAAGCAGAAGTCAGCTGAGTGTGGAAGCTGTAACTTTTCCCTGCAGTTTCTC